TGAGTGCTAAGCACAAGGTTAGAAAAGAAACAAGTATCATGTGTGCAGGCTGTGGTGTGGCTCTCTGCAAACTTTCATGTTTCAATGTTTATCACACGAAGAAAAACAAATAAAGAGGTGTGGAAAAGCATTTATTGCATAAAATATTGTATTTTAATTAGTTCCCAAAAATTTCGTTTTTAAAAACCAATTTTTATTGAAGTTGTTTAGGAAAAAGTAACTACATGCACTTTAGCGACATAAGGTTTAAAGGGCCTGCCAGGACAGGGGTGGGATTTAAATACCCTTCGTGCCAGTCAAAGAGTTAACCTACTTTATTCCAATACTGTCAACGGGAGGAACACGGTTTGAATACATATGAAACTACCTGTCTGGATGCTGTTCACTGGTCAACTGCCTTGCAGTTTCACCCAACTGCCTGATGGTATCTGCATAATCTTCTACAGCCAACTCCAGTGTCTCATGCTTCTTCATCAAATTCTGTGCTGAGATTTCATCCTTGCCACGATCCTCCACCATCATGTACAATTCTTGCTCACTCATCCACGATTCTGCTTCACTTGCATCAAAGAAATACTGGAACAACATTCATTCCATTACAGGTGACAGATGTACAGAGTCGGCAACATAACTAATGCCTTCTATCAAGCTAACCAACAGGCAGTCTAAATAAATTCAATACTAAGACATTCTGCTATTCTCAATTAAGACCACACATCACCACTCAATACTCTGGCCACTGATATAACCTAACAGTAATACAAAGAAATGTTAATATTGACTGCACACAGTAATATGTGCTGCGTGACCTCACCTGCTGTGCCTTCTCTGACTGCAACAGTTTGTTTCGTCGATTCTCCACAGCATCCTTCAGCTGTTGCCATCTGGCCAACAAGTCGTCGATTAGCTGTGTAAATTCTAGAGCATCTTCATGTCCTTCATCTATTAGCTTCTGTCCATTGTTGCAAACTAAATGGATCCTGGGTTCATGGTTATCAATCTCTGTGCGTAATGACTGCAAGAAAATTAGATTATAAGGATGCAACCTTATAGCTCCAATACTTTTATTACTCTTCCCAAAAATGGTTCACTGTATCACAAAGTGAGCAAATCACAGCATTTCTAGATCTACAAAAATGACCTCATTACACACTACAAATTTTCCAGACTGATGAATACTCAATGAAACAAACATGGTGCAATAAAACATCTGTAAGTCTAACAGATTCACTTCTATGACTCAACAAACAAGGAGAGATTGAAAAGTGATTAAACAGGCAACACTACTCAATTATTCTAACATATTTCTGTAAAACAAGGTAGCTTAAACTGCGTGAGAAAAGCATGAAGACATTATCCTTTGCTTCTATGGCATTCAGCCTGCAGATAAATCTGACACCCAGTATTTTCAAATATGGGAACACACATCAAAACAAGCAAATTTGCTTTTAAGCACAAAGAAAGCAATATTACTTTTCTAAGTACCAGATTTCTGTACATAATTACCTGGTTTTTCTTCTTCAGCATATGCACATTGAATAAACTGTTACCATACTCAGTTGAAGTGGCCTGTGGCATTTTCTCAGCTATCCACAGTTTCTCATCTTCTATGTCACGTCGGAACTGGATTAAAGAAAAGATTATTACATTAGTAGTTCTCAGAACATTCCACACAGCACACTTGTGTTCCTGGCTATTCAATAGCTACAATGCAAAAAAAAGTTTTATGGCATTACATCTACCACAACTTCAGGTTCAATTTCAGTGATTCAATGTCAATCAGTGTTACACCTTCTCCATTTAAGCTTTTCCTTACGTTATCTGTTCAAATCCATCCCTAGAGAAATTTCAGGTAGAGATTTCACCATATATGGAAAGATAAGTGTGACAGAACTCAATATAACACACTGGAAATACAGCCTTACCAACAGATACCATTTAGATTTTGATATTTATATATTACAATCTTCATTTTTAATGTTAGTTTTAGTATAACTGGGTATTAGTTTGTATCACTGGTTATAACACTGAAGTCAAAGAAATGTCTATGAAGTCAGCTGTTGTTGCAATAAATTCTGAAGACTGTTAAATATCTTGAAACATAAAAGTAGCATTGTAAATGGCATTAAGTAATGCCATAATCTAAATAATAACAAAGAAACAGAAGAAAATGAGCTACTGTTCTCTCAACAAACTGTGATACTGTTTAAAACATAGTAAGATATCACTAGCTGTGATGGTGATTGCCTGACTGACTGACAATGATGACAACAATAAATGTTTATAACACAAGATTTCAGACTGCCATGGCCATGACTATCTTCAGGTTCTCTCTTACTTTATTCATACCGCTTTTCTTTCATTATAGACCTATTCTTTAACCTGAAGATGGGAAGCAGCCAGTTCTTCCAACATAACCACAATCTATGAGGCTACAAAATGTCACCTCAAAGAAGACAAGACAGTAACCTTCAACACAAATCATGTTCAAATCTCCTATAAGAATACTAAACTAAGATAACATTAGAAGAATAAAATGTATTACAGCCCAAAGAGGAACAGTACTCAGAGAAAAGGATCCCTGTTGACTTTTTGGAAACAAAGAATCACAGTTTTCAGGTTTAGTAACTGATCAGACTGTGGTCTTCCCAGCTGTGACATCATGTTGTATTCATTTGAATCCTGAAGATGAAGGCAGCATGTTCTTCTGTAATAATTGTTTCCAAGCCCCAGAGCAGATGAGGTCACAACCCAAAAGACCACACTCTGAAAACAACATTTAAATACCAGCATAATAAAGTGACATGAACCAACCTGGAATGCTTCTTTCTTCTTCTCAAGTTGCCTCTGTCTGTCCAGGAGAGGTGCTTTCAGTTGCTCAAATCTTATCTCCACCTGAGTCTTCTTCATTTGGATTTCATCCATTTTCTCTGGAGCAGTTCGTTGTAAGTATTCAGCCTGCGTCTCCAGCTCGGACACCTGTTTTGCCTTCACAGCCATCTGTGTCTCGATCATCTAAACCAAAACATCCACCCGTTTATCAGCCGCTTATCCTCTCATTACACACATACTTGCAATATTGTATCCTAGTTTAAAAAATTAACACCAACTGTTGGCTAAGCAAGTCACAATCTCAAACACTGGTCTCTATGGCTTCAACCCTTTATTCTTCTATATTCTGTACTAGGCTCAGCCTGTACAGTGACTAGATGACTTATGGTTAAAATCCAAACAGAGACAAAAAAAAATTGAATTTTGACATCTAAACAGGTCTAGGGCCCATCCAGCTTCACAGTCAATGGATATCAGGAGGTTCTATCATGCGTGGGGGAGGGGGGGTGTTAAACTGGATTAATTACAAAACTGACCACTGACTGCCAATCAAAGCCATGGCTAAGAATGTGTGGCACTTTTCCTTCAATTGCCGATACGTTTATTTTATGTTTATGGACTGTTCTGAAATATTATTTCAACTGCAAACTGAAATTGTATTTTAATTTACTAATAATTCTTCAATAATTTCAATTTATTTATATCCAATGACAGAAAAATATAGTCATGCATCCTGATGGGGTCCAAAACCAAAGAATGACTGTGCTGGTGAAGACCAGCAGAAATTACCAGATCAGAGAGACCAGAAGAGAATAGTATGGATATTGAAGATGGGCCAACACAATTATAATTTCAATTCACACATACTTATTTGAATCTTGAACAGTAAGTCATTTAACAACAGATAGTCACAGTATCAATTTAGAGAACCTCACATTACCTGCTGTTTCTGCATGAGGATATTAACAGAGGCCAGATCAGTACCGGTGTCTTCCGACTCAATCTGCTTCTCAAGATCATTCATCCATGTGTCTATATCATCACAGGTCTGGTGAAGCAAGACTTCACGATTTGCATCAAAAAGTCTCTCTCCCTTTTCCTTGGTGGTCCGCTCCAGGTCATCAAATTGCTGACCAAGTTCAGAAATTCTAGGCTCAATCAGTTCTGCGAGTTCTGGTTTCTCTTTTACCAGCTCTTCTGCAGCCTGTAACACACAAAATATAAGGTAGAGAAAGGAAGGAACATTGCTGCAAATGTGAATCCAAATACAGTGATGTACTACGGTAACATGTTTCCTGTCCTCACTGAAAATTTCTTAATGAGAATAAATGTACATTAAGAAATAACTGGTATTAAAGTCACTACTTGATTTATATGGATTTTATTTATGTATTTTTGGAATTATGCAGCTGTCGTATTAACAGTGTTTTTTTAATGAATGAAGGAACAAGAAAATGTGATTGATTCTGACTGACGAACAAATCTTTTGGGAACTAATCATTCAGAAGGCCAAGAATGAAAAACAAAACATTAAAGTGGATCCTATGGAAGTATGTTCAACAAAGGGCACTGAACATAACAAGCTCCATAGTCAAGACTAATGGCAGACGTTTGTGTTCATGGCACCGAAACTTTGGTATCTAAAGATAAGAGTTAATTAGCTCTTATACAGCATGTCTGAATTATTCATACCACATACAATAAATTATTCTTATAATTTATTAAGACTGTGTGAAAAGAAGCTGAGAAACAAGTTATGTACCTGCTGGATATGGAAAAGCCTATCCTTATTGGATGCAATCTCTGCTTCGAAAGCCTGGTGCCGGGTCCACTTGCTGTGTACAGTCTTCGCACTCCGATATGTTTCATCTTGGGCTGTAATATTCTTCTCCTGCACCCATTCACTCAGTTCCTCACAATCCTGCAATTCATACAAATACACTTCTCAGCAAATAAACTGAGGCTAAATGATGACCTCCATACTCATGTACCACTGTCTGGGCTAATATGAAAACCCAAGCTTAGAGTATATTAGAACGTTGCCAATATGAAGCTAATGACCCTAGAAATTTTATTAGACAATAAATGCATCCAATAAACTTATGGATAATATGAGAAAGGCAACGTTCAAGGAACTTAGAAAAGAATTACACACACAGGCAACTCCCAGTTAACTACGGATCGATCACCTGGGGAGCTCTGTTTAGGAAACTGTCTGGTGTGTCCAATATCAAAAATTAATCATCACGTGATACTGCTTTTTAACAATAACAAATACAAAAAGAAAGGAGATACTGTGTTTGAATATGTACCTGGAAACTTGAGAAGGGTCTATGTTAGTTTCATTTTTTATGCATAGAAATGGAACAGCAGCTTCACACAAACCACATTACATTTCTACCAATAGCGTTAGAGTAATATACAATCATAAATGTGTCTATAAATTTCAGGTCACAGTCTGGTTACATATTACTTTTACTGATTATCTGAGGAAATTCATTTCCTTTTCAAAGAGGATAGCTGGAAGTCTACTGTACATTTCTATGATACATAAAAATGCCCACGTGTGTTCAACACACCGAACTACTAGGTACACATAATACACCAGTGGTAAATTATGCAAACCATCCACCTAAAATACCATTATTTTAGTGCTTGCTTGTGCAGGTAATTCTAATATTTATATAATTATGTAAAACAGGAATTCTATTTACAAACTGTAAATTTACTGGTACTGAAGAAAATGCAATCAAAGCAAGACAGAGTCAAAACAATGGCAAACATTCCTGCTGTGGATGAAAACTGTCTGCAATTGCCACTGCATTTGAAAGTTACTTAGAGATAAGCCCAAAATTCATCTCACAAAGAGAGATGACATGTGTCTGTAAGGAAAACACAAAAAGTAGCCTAACAAAATTTGTTATCATGTTCACTGTATACTTATGTCAGACCAATCACCTCACCTGTAGGAACTGGTGAAGTTGCAATTGGTCTTTCAGTTTTTCCATTTGCAGAAGTGCACGGTCACGGTTAGCGTTGCGCCTCTCATTGATATTCTCTGCCTTCTTGTGAACTTTATCGGCTGCAACCAAAAGCAACATATAACACAGTCCTAATGATTTGATTTCTATACTCATAAAATGAAACACCTTATATATTGTGAATTATGAGAGTAAATAAGTTATGATAAAAGGTTTACCCTTACTTCAACCTGTATTATTTTGTAATTTTAGGAAAGGGGTTTTGATTTTTGTATTTTATGAATCAGAGTGCCAATATAGCATACCATTCCAAGCACACATTAATCACTTACCAAATTATGACATCTCATTATCAGTTACCAGCACAACTGATCCAATAACTATGACAGTAAATATACAATATTTTTTTATTGCTAGTGGGGTGGGACTAAGTCCCTTGTACTGCGGCCACTTCTGGCCTATTGTACCAGCCCCAGATGATAGGTGAGGGTGATTGTGGAGCAATTGGTGGAATGAAGACTGGCAGGGGAAATTGAAGTACTCGGAGGAAACCTGCCCCAGCGCCACTTTGTCCACTGCAAATCCCACTTCACCAGACCCGGGATCGAACCCAGGCCGCAGTGGTGGGAAGCCAGCGACTAACCATTTGAGCTATGGCGCGGCCGAGTATATACAACAACAGTCATCAGGGAACAACTGACTAACTGGTGTTTTCAATATATTTATTTTCATTCCAGTTCTTCGCCTTACTTTATAACCATTATTTTATTTCTGACCTAAGCAAATCATCCACCGAACTATCTAGAAGAATAAAGATAAAAACAAAAGTCTCACAGGCCAAAATGACTTGGAGGATTCACTTCCAAACATGTTCAAATAACCCCACAGGACTTAACAAAAAAACTAACAACATGACTTCATAGTATGAAACATCACATGAATTTTGTAAGTTTTGAGGTTTTCACGGCGATGACAATGAAGAAAGTCATCTTCTGGGTTTAGGCACCGTGTATTCTTCGTTTTGGCCNTGTTTTATAACAATTTTATAATTTTACTGTCTTTTTATACCTTGTATTATTATAGTGTAACAGCTGACAAGTATCCAGCTCTATTTTACCATCACACTGAAATGCAGTTCAATAGTATGTGAGTATAGTAGCCATGTATTTGCCTGATGATGGCTTTAAAAGTCGAAACATGTAGCTAAGGTGTTGCTGGCCTAGACCGTTTTGTTGTTGTGTTACGACAGATCCTAATAAAGAATTTTAAATACGTAACCCAATCAGTCTTCTTGTATTGCTTGTTATTTGTGAATGAAGACAACCAAAGCAAAACACAATTTTATATAAATCTAACAAATTAATCTGTGCATGTTAATAACTTTACTCTTATTTCATACCTGTAATACTGTGGAAACACAACGCAAGTTAAATCACTGATAATACCAAATATCACAGCCCACCACAGGAAAGAACTCTGATGTAATTCCATGTATTACCCTCCCTCATAGCCTTTCCCTGAGTCTTATTTATATATTTTTGTACTTCCAGAAATTTCATTCAAGGAAAAATGACTTGCCAAGACATTCTGAATTAATGTAATGCATTTCACTGCCTGAAAATTATAATCCGACTACTGTTATTTGGAAACAGACATTCTTGCTCTACGAACATTAGAATGTGAAACAGCTGATTCAATTATCTTACAATCATGTAGCCTAAGTGTTATGCCACTGACCTGCAAAGTGGCCCTCGTCACACAGACGACCAGCAAACTGCACAACATTGTTGATCTTGTCATCGTTGGCCTCCATTGTTGTCAGGAAGGCTTCATGTCGTTTTATCAGGTTTTCTGCCTGTTCCAAGTTGATCTGCAAATCAAACAAACAGTAAAAACAAAAATGATTTTTGTTAAAAATCCTTCTGTCTCGCATTTCCTTATATCTTGTCTGTCTGATGGCATACACAGTATAACTTCTACTGTCTGGTATTAAAAAAAGGACATTCTCAGCATATACACCAATAGATGTTAATACTTGTAAACTGAATTACGTACTTCACACTTTAGCTGCCAGGAAATTGTGTCTAATTTGACATGTGATATGATCTGGTTAACTGAGTTCATATTTACAAGCCATATTACCATGTGACACTGCAGCAGTAAACAGAAAATACATCTGATGTCACAGCCTTTGTGCACTAAGCTGCATATCAGCCAAGAGGTTTAAGCAACCTGTTATCAAATTCTGCACAAAGTTTGTTAAAGATCAGCGATTTAAGAAACACTTCAATTTTTTATTTCAATATAGCTATTTTACAAGAAACCTACAAAAAAAATGCTTATTTGTTACACGACTTATAGGATCAATACAACAAACAATAACATGTAATACATATTAAGTGGCAGTGACCTGGTAAGAGGGACAAAACACTCTAAAAAAGGATATGAAGTTCTTTTCTACAGTAAACCTCCCTCTTTTGACACAAGAATGAATTCAATGAAGATAAGTTCAAAGCTACTCACACACGCAGTCACAGGAGCAAGACGCAACACAGAGCACAATACACGATAGTGAAAGAGTGCTCCAACAGAAGATGATAGAAGTGACCCGCGTAATGAAACACGACGTAGGAATGAAATATCCTGTACAATTTTTAATATTTTAACACTTAACATTTATCAGTATATATGATAAATATATATTTTAGTTATTTTAGTATGTATAGACAAGGCATGCAATGAACTAGTTTGTCGTGGATTGCATCAGCACCTGAAGATGACACTTTTGTGCCGAAACATGTAGTGCGAGTGAGAAGAGGGGATAGATGAATGTATGCACTAGAAGACGGATAAAATAAATCATGGACTACTCACCGGGGTCTCATCCTTACTAAGGACATGCTCTTGTTGTGATAGCAGAACTTCTGCTTGTTTAGCATCACGGTTGAACATCTGCAGATTCAGCGACTGTGACAGCAACTGTTGTCTGTTTTCCCACATCTGGTGCAGTTCTTCCCAGCCATCCTTCAGGGCCTTCAATCGTTCCCGCAGGAACATGTACTGAGGATCATCTTGCGTCGAGGGTTCCTATAAAAATCATGTTGGCAAACCCACGCATTAAAAATATGGTAGCTATGAGATTTTAAAAGTGTGATATTAGGTCAGGAACAATGACTGTTTACATATATCAATATGCAATGAAATGAAAACAAAACTGACATTCCCTAGTAAGGCTCATGTACAAGATGAGATTACCTTCATTAAACTGCACAGCACAAAAACCAAATGATTAGATTAATAATCATAATATTACAAAAATGACATCAAACAGATCAATCCTAACATATTTGTTACTTAACAATACTAGACAAAACTGTCCCTGCTGGAATAAGTGGAAAGATAAGCCAAAAGGGCAAGAAATACAAACACTTCACTTATAAGACTATAAATAAAATAATCCTACTACTTGATGCATAACTACATGTAGCTGAGTCCTTCTTGAGAAGATGCCAGTCGCTCAGCTTCTCAGGAAGTTCCAAACATTTTACGGAACCCGAACGTTCATTACTCTGTTCACAGGAGCTTTACTACTGCATGCCTATGTCACAAAATACAAAAACCCTTCCATCTGTTGATTTTGCAGAACCCACCATACCCCAAGAAAAAACTCCCCTGTATGTTACACATAATAAACTAAGCATTCTCTTTTTTATATTCTTATTCTTCCTCCATTTATCACTACTAGAAACTATGGTTATTCAAGCAGAAATAAAAATTACTCACTGCAGTGATGCGCTCTCCATACTCCATCATCTTTGCATAGTCATCTGTATAGTTGTCTATCTCTTCCCGGATGCTCTGATGCTGGTTCAACAGCTTCTCTGCTTCAGCCAGTGATGCAGGAGTGTCTTCCGAAGCTACATCCGTCTGAGTCTTGGTGAGCCACATCTGGAAGTGATCCAGGTCTCGCAGGAACCGATGAAGATCACCTGCCTCTTCCAATTTTGAGTCACGCTCTTTCAGCTACAAACCATAACAACACAATATTAAATACACGACTAAAGTAATAATACCCCTGAAACTTTTATAGGTCTCTCAATTCCAGAATGTGAGCACTTGCCATTTGTGTGAGCTGCTCCCAGATCTGCTGGATCTGCGTTATTCTCTCACGGATAAGGGCTGCTTCATCAGGATGTTCTGTGCCAATAGAATCTGCCTCCTGTTCTAGAGAATCCAGCTTTGCCTGAATGGCTGCCAGATCACGCTCCATTCCAGACAGTCGCCGCTGTAACACAGTACAAACTTTAGTTATGGACTACAGACAACTGTTTTCTTCCTGCTGCTGGAGTCTGTCTGTCTGTGTGCGTGCATGTGCAGGTGCTTTACAACAGTGTAATAAGGCAATGGAACAAATAAACAAAAATTCATACTGATAATTCATGTATTATTTAAAAGATTATGATTCTGAAACATCTTCATTCAATTACTGATGAAAAGGAGTTCAACTTATTTAGAGATGCCTTCTATACATGTTTAAATTAGTGAAATCACATCTATAAAGGTTAGAAATAAATAAATAATGATGGATTCTTCAATACATAAACAATGAAGGAAATGAGATTTGTAAAATTGCAAACAACACATTCTGTAATGTGGATTCTACTAACCTTTTCATTCTATTCATATTTTGATTGCTACAGACTGGGGATGTATGAAATTGCTCTGGTGCCAACATGTACAATTCAAATGTATAGGCTTCTTTTCTGATCCCTTCATAAAACTGCTGATGGTAAGAACAATTTATCACAAGTCACTTTATGTTCAAAATGCACAGAAGTAAGTCCTCTGGATTCTAACACAAAACAGAATGAACACTGCTGGTCACACTGTACCTGTTGATTCACCAAGCTTCACTGAATATGCATGAATGTTCCTCATAAACAGCAGCCAACCAAGTTTAGCTGCTGCTGCTACAAGCTGTAAAAGCATTAAAATGAAGCTCAATGAAATTATTTATATTGCAGATAAACACAATCAAGTAACAAACCTGCAGTGTCATGATGCCTGTAAGATCCATCTCTAGGCTATCTGTGGACTGCAAGATTCTCTTTTTGTCTTCTATCCATGACAATGTCTCACGACACTCAATGTGGAATGTTTGAACTCCATGGGCAGAGTTCAATTCATCACGTTTAGCTTCTGCCTTCTCCCTAAGTTCTGCCCATTCATGATTCAACTGAATGGCAAAAGAAGTGTAATTAGTTACAGTACCATAAGTCCAAAATTCTCTTCCACAACGCTGTAATAATCACCATGACTGTCAATTCAATTCATGAATACCAATTAATACACACACACACACACAATACTTCTGAACTATGAACAGTGAAATCCCTACCTAATGAACCGTTAGGGCACTGACTTTCTTACATTAAATCAAAGTATTCACTGACTGGGGTTTAAAATTATATCAACAAACTATTCATCTTGTACTTTTGTTTGTATATAATCAAAGAAGCTATTTATACACAAATTAACATGATTACATATTCAATAATAAAATAAAGAATGACAAATGTAGGGACACTCAATAAACTTCCTCAGCCCCTCAAGGTGAATGCCAGAATACCACTATGATCAGTAACTTCCAACTAAATTAACAAAACATCAAAAAATGTATGCAATGGATGAAATGCTTCCACACCCCACAGATCCAAAACATATAAACATAATAATCCACTTAACAAGTTACTCCATAGTTAAACGAGTCAAAACTATGTAATGGACTACACAATAAAACCCAAATCAAATCCACAACTGAATCAAAGATCACTTTTAAAATACCTTTCTTATGTATCAAATTGAGGGGGGGGGGATCCCTCAGAGCATAAACTACTTCACCTTTCTAAAGAGATTCAAAAACACATTTCACCTATGCCTCACTTAACTCTTTTATATGCACATTTTATTTATTTGTGGTTTATTTAATGTTAGTTGTAGTGTCAAATGGTTGAACAATTAGTGAATAATTAGAAAATTTGCAGCAGAAAGTACTCATGACCCAATCTGAGGTTCTATCTCAGCATTCGTCTCAAGTGATGGATGAAAACAATAAAAAACCTCAGTCAGGATTGCTAGAAACCCAGGTTTAAATTAAGGCACCTCCTGAACAAAAGTCACAAGTATTACCATTTGAGCAGGCTTCTTTGATCATGTTAACTTTTATTAATATTATACACCATGTTATGTACAACACACCTGATTTTGCCGTGCTAGTATTTGTTCAGAGTTGGGGTGCTCCACATGTAGCAACTGTCGTGCTAACTGGTTCACCACAGCTACTCGTGATGCATTGGCATTCATTTCTTTCTCGAAACCATCATAACGATGTTTCATGATCTCCACATCTTCTATATCTTTAGCCGGAACCATGGTCTGCAGCATACGATCCTAAGAACAAAAACACAATTATCCTTTATTAAAAAATTTGAATAACTGTAAAGAAAGTTCCTACTTATACACTAGACCTCACATTATCCAGATTGGACAGGATATGAGTTAGATAATCAGCAGAAGAAACATACAACTAACTTGTGAATTGGGATTTACAAAACAATATATATATTTATAAGTGCATTTTACTTTAACACTATTGGTACAAACATCAGTGTGGTTTCAGAGAAGCTCTGTGCCATTTCTAGACATTAAAAAGAAAAACCAAAGAGAGAAACTCATCTCAAGTTTCCAAGCACATATTTAAAGGGAAAAGAGAAATTCCTTTGTTTTGTACTTGTTTCTTTCTAAAAGGCACTTCTACATTAAGTTTATCTTTTGACATTGGACAATACAGTGTTTATATCCAGTGCAGCATGAGTGTGACATCACAACCATTAACCATATGTTCAGAAGGAAGTCCACAATGTAAACCACATAATTCAAATTTATATAATCTGAAGTTTGTATTTTTTTGTCCCAAGCACTTCAAATTCATGAGATATTACTGTAACATTCAATCATATCAAGCATGTTGCATCTTACGGACTTCTATACAAAAAAAAAAAATTAACATATTTCTCATAACAAGTATAATTGTATTAACCATTACCAAAAGATTAACTGATATTTTAATTTAAATTATGTTGAGGAAAACTTATTTTTCTTCAAGTAAATATGGCATCTTTTACCAATTAAGAGACAAGTTCCAAACATGTAACCCAAATGTAATTACTCTATTTATGAACGTGGTCATAATCTTTGCACAATGGTCATAACATAATCTTGTGCATGAAATCAGTAGTCTATGTACTTCCATTCGCTAGACACATCAAATTTCTGCTAAATTTCCACTGATAGAGTGTGCATATAACTTTTTTCAAACAAAGTATATGAATATCAACTTTATGTATGTTTTACACATAAATATGTTGTAGTAATAGAAGACCAGTGCTTAAGAGTTCAGCATTACAGAACAAGCTAGTGGAATACAGCAAAATTCTAATTTATTAAATATTTGTACTAGTCCAGCCAGAGCCCAATCTAAACAATGTTCAGTGAATTCTAATTCTCCTCATAAGAGCAGTGAATATTCAGATATTTTTTCCCTGCTAGAAATCGTTATAACATATCAATGACCTTTGGTGACTGACATCACGCACCAATCATGAACAAACACCTCACAGCTTGAGGCATCACAATTACCATGATTCTTAACTGACGTTTTTCAGTATTCATTTCATGTCATCAATTAGTTTGGATATTATTGACTGTGTGATTGTATTTGTGTAAAACAGGTTCTTTAATTATTCATGTAAAGAAATGATTTACAATAACACTTTCTCAGCAGTAAGTGATGCACGATTCAAGAAAACTGAACCACTGCATCCAGGAAGCCATGGTTCTCATCATATAAGCTTTCCTGATAGTCACAACGAGACATGACATTGTTGTACTGAATAAAATTCTGACTGTACACAGATACTAACTAGATCAGATTTGGGGGGGGGGCAAAGAAAACAGGCAGAGCTAACCTTCTCGCCTATCCACTGCTCAACACCATCTGACTCACTCAGCAGCTTATACAGTGAGAGCGCATCCAGCAACCGCTGCTTACGGAGTTTTGCAAGCTCCAGCAATTCCTTGTACCGGTGATCAATACTAGCAAGACGTTCCACAACCTGCAATTCAAGAGTCAGAACAAAATATCAAGACATCTGCAGACCACCTCAGAAATTATTTACAGCGTTTACTGAAACAGAGTATTGTACCATTCTTCTTCACATACGAGGTGTGTTCAGGAAATAACGGGAATTTTAAAATTTCGCGGGTTTGGAGAGTCCAATTGTCAAAATTTTTTTTTTATTATGTTGGTATACATGCCCCTGAAGTACAATAAAATTTTCAGCTGTATTCATTGCTTACTTTGTCTGTGGCAGCCGCTAAGGTTAGACGTGTTTTTATGAGCTTGGCGATTTTCGTTTGTTAAAAGAAATGGATCAAAGAATTTGTATCAAATTTTGCGTAAAAAATGAAATAAAGTGTTACAAAGTGTGTGAAATGTTAACAAAGGCCTATGGTGAGTCTGTTATGAGTAAAACAAGAGTTTACGAGTGGTATAAGCGTTTCCAAGATGGCCGTGAAGACGTTGCAGATGACGAGCGCCCCGGACGCCCCAGCACATCAACAACCGATGAAAACGTGGAAAAAGTGAAAGCAATGATTATGAATGATCGCCGAATCACAATCAGAGAAGTTTGCGTGAGGCAATCCGAAAAAAACGCCCGGATTTGTGGAAAAACAATTCATGGCTTTTGCACCACGATAATGCACCTGCTCACACTTCGTTGCTTGTTCGTGAATTCTTGGCCAAAAACAATACTGTAACGATGCCCCAGCCTCCATATTCGCCAGACATGGCTCCGTGTGACTTTTTCCTATTTCCAAAAATAAAGAGAACCTTAAAGGGCCGTCGTTTTACAAGCATAGATGACATTAAAAGCGCATCGCTGAAAGAGCTAAAGGCTATCCCAAAAATCGAGTTTGAGAAGTGTTTCGATGATTGGAAGAAGCGCTGGCGTAAGTGCATAATATCGAATGGGGACTATTTTGAAGGCGACAACATTAATGTAGACGAATGAATAAATATTTTTTCCAAAATACGGAAATTCCCGTCATTTTTTGAACACACCTCGTATCCCAAAATAAGACGAGAACATAAAATGTAACTAAGTAAATCATGCATGCACATTCATATGCATCTGCACACAAAAAAAATGTCTATTTATGGGTGGGATGAGGCTGCGCCATAGTTCAAGCGGTTAGTCACTGGCTGGTTCAAACCCGGGTCTGGTCAAGTGGGATTTGTGGTGGACAAAGTGACGCTGGGGTATGTTTTCTCCAAGTACTTCAGTTTCCCCTGCCAATCTTCATTCCACCAAATTCGCCATCATCATAATCACCCGGGGCAGGTACAATAGGCCCATCAGTGGCCGCCATGCCAAGTGGAGACTTGACTCCACCCCCTACTATGCAAAATGGGTGGGATGAGACAAAAGTCCCATGATAATGTGGCTTCCAATGGGTATGTTATACAAGCCCCATTACTGTTATGATGAGAGCAATGATAATAGCAACTACAGATGTGTATGGAGTCTTGAATGACTGCCAAGAGGAAACTGAAATATTCAGTGAAAAATTTTTCTTACTGCAATGAGAACTATGACATGGCCTTTAATAAACACTACAAATATACTCCATAATTCAAATTACAAAGTACTGTCAATATTTCTGCTTCAGAAAATTTTACAGCTCTTCTTGAACCAATATAAAATGATAAAAAAAAATCACATGATTAGTCATATAAACAGGGAAAATGCTTACATGTTTAAGAACCAGTAATTATACAGGGTGTCCCAGGAGGAATGGACCAAACTTCGGGAGGGTGTTCCTTATGTTAAAGTATGCCGATATAACCCAAAACACCTATGTCCAAAGTTGAACGGTTACGGAGATAATGGCCCGAGAAGTGTCAAACTTTGACCGGGGTTACACACTTGTTGATTACAAAATACATATTAAAACTGGCAGGAATATGTGGATTCTGTAATGTTAATAATGTACGTAACATCAAACTAACTTGTGAGTGACGGAAAGCCATAAAAGTGAAGTACAAAATACTCGCTCGCCATGTCATAATTGTCCTTAGGTTTCCAAGCAGTATACATAACACATGACTGGCGAGCGATGACGTAACGTGCTGACTGCGCGTTCTGGTATGAGCCAACTACATAAGCACGGCTAGGGAGTATCATCGCACTCAAGGACAAACATAGATAAGGGCTCTCAGCTGAGAGGTACAGCGAGGTACAGTGCTTGGACCTGCCAGAAGACCACACTTTTCTTGGGCCATTATCTCCTTAACCGTTCAACTTTGGACATAGGTGTTTTGGGTTATATCGGCATACTTTAACATAAGGAACACCCTCCCGAAGTTTGGCACATTCCTCCTGGGACACCCTGTATATATATTGTACGGCCTGCATGAATGCTAATTTATATTCTTCAAAAAAGTAGAATGTTTTTTTAAAGATGTATGGACACACAGTCCCACCACAGAATTCTCCATGACCTTTTTGTGGTATGAAGATGTACAATTATGATGTATAATTTAGAAAGAGCTATGGTAGGGTAGCCTTTAATGGCATATGTCTCATATGTATTGGTTAAATGGATCAAACATATCAGGGGATACATACTAAATTCCATCATCGTTATATGCTTCCCTATCTGCTATGATATATTAATGGTTACTGATTCTTCTCTCGTCGCAAATGTTACTGAATATTTTCATTCTCATGTGTTATTCTGCTTTTTCAGTTAGTTCCTGCCACAACAGGATTCTTTACTAACATTGCAGTCTGTAAAGTGTTACAGTTTTTNTTTTTTTAAGTCGCTTAGTGGGGGGGTGGAGTCCAACTGGGTCCACTTGGCACCGTGGCCACTGATTGGCCTATTGTAGCCTGCCCTGGGTGATTATGATGATGGAGAATTTGGTGGAATGAAGATTGGCAAGGGAAACCGAAATACTCAGAGAAAACCTGCCTCAGCGCCACTTTTTCCACCACAAATCCCACTTTACCAGACCTGGGATAGAACGTGGGCTGCTGCAGTGGGAAGCCAGCGACTAACTGCTTGAGTTATGGCGTGGCCTGTTATTTGTTAATTAGTAATAAACAGGGATGACGTATCAACAACACAGCATGGAAAATATAGTTATGATAAAATTCAGGATAGGGACTAGTGGAGGGCTCTTCTGAACACAGTAATGAACATTCAGGTTAAATAAAATGCTTGGAAATTCTTGAGTAGTTGCACAATTGGTGGCATCTCAAGAAGGGCTAAGCTTCATGAGTCATGACGATACTACTTAGATCACAAGTAACTTTTACCATTACTTTACACGATGTTTAGGGAACTAGAATTAAAATACACATTTCCATTCTTTATACGATGATATTTTCTGTCATAAAATAAGGATGCTAAGCCACTAAGTGGCTTGCTGAAGCATGCCTAGACTTGTTAACATGCACGTGAATGTCTCACCTCAGGAGATTTTCTATCCTGTTCTCCAAGCTGTTCTGCCTGCTTATGCAGAGTCTCAATAGTAGAGCTGTAATTTTTCAGTTCATCGGTCACATCCTTGTGTTTCTTGAGAAGAGACTGTACATTTGCTTCATCACGACCTACATCCTCACTTGACACCAGCCTCAATGTGTCCAGCATCCAGATGTCCACATCATCTGCATCTGCAAAGAACTGTAAAGAAAACCATGAAGAAGAGCAACACTTAACACAAATCTCAAGTCTGCCAAATAGCCACTACACCCACCTGATGGAAGTCCACAGCCTCCTCCAATCGCTTACGTCTGTATGCTGCTGCATCTATCAGATGCTGCCACATTCCCAGTATTTCTTGGAGCCGTTCCTGGATGCGGTCAGCACCAAAGTGTTGACGATGCACAAGATCATCTCCTACAGCTACTACTGACATAAGCTGTGACTCGTGACTACCTATTTCATTTTCAAGAGCCTGTAAGAAAGAAAATACAAGCATGTACTTTCAGAAGCAAAAATAAATTCTGATCATTAGGTGTTGGAACATTTTATAAACAGGGACCTACATCACATACATTAAAAGCATCCCTTGTCACTATAGCTAGCATAGGCAGGAGTGGCAGTGGAGGCAGACACAATACCAGTCAGTGGATACGGACAGTTGCTGCAAGTATGTTCAATAAGCAGTAACTGTCAAGCGTAAGCGGCCTCTGTAGTCTTGGGGTAACGTTCCCACCTCGTGACTCAAGGTACGTGGGTTCAAACCCGGCGGAGGTTGTGGAATTTTTAAGGGCGGAAAAATTCAGGGAACAAGTCCTCTGGGAGGGACTCTAAGGCGTGGGTCCCGTGTCGTAGCTTTACGGCACGTAAAAGAACCTTATGTCTCAAGGGGACCTCTGAGCCAAATGCAGGACATTTCCTGCTCAACAGTAGTCTCTAACGCCTCTGGTAGATGGGGGAAGCATCGATACCGCTGAGCCGGTAGAGGCCAAACTCGCTGGCTCGGGACTGATGGCACACACCAGTACCGGTAGAGTATAGAGACTGGTAGAATATCACAGGGGGATGCACAATGGACCAATATTTGGTCTAAGTGCATGGGGAAACCCACCCTCTCCAATTACAACAACAGCAACAACTGTCAAGCATGAAACACAAAAAAAATCGTTACCTTCTCAAGATTAAGCTGAACGACAGTAAAAGTAACGTCAGTTTAAGGATGTTACAAAGAGGAGAAACGAACAAGAACATTCCTTTATGAAACTTGACAGCCAGTGGTAAATGGAAATAACAAGATGCAAGTACGAAGACATCCAAATGTGTCTTCAACCAATGAAGTGTGTGAGCATCACTGAATTAGCTCATGAAACAGATAAATGAAAAACCTTTGTTCCAGCATTCAGGCATTTTACTGGCCACTTTGAAACATAAATAAGCACACAACTTGATTCATCAATTACAATGATGGCACCATTATTTAAAGGTGGCCTAAAAAGCTGTCAAACAAATTATCCAACAGAAATAAATAAAAATACCAGTTCCTTTTACAGACACATACAAAAAAGTAAAGAGAAAGAAGAAAATATTTTACAAAATTGTTATCACATTAGTGGACATATTGTTTTCATTTATTTTCTCTGTCCACTGGTCCTTACTGCAGTCAAACTGTCTACAAGGCTTCTTCTAACAATGTCAACAAGGCTACAGTCATGTGGAAATACTACCATTACTAACTGTAATTCCAGATAAGAAATCCAAACCACTATTACTGTTATATGTTATACGGTATTCCATTTTACCTACTATGGATGACATTGCGACATAATGGCTGAAAGCAGGTATATTTGAATTGGAAGAGTTGGCTGCTGCTAGGCAAAAGCTTGATAAACAAGTTTGTGATAATGAACACATGTCTTGGCAATGGAGAAATTGTTGGGAACAGTGTTTTCTGTGCAGTCCATGCAAAAAATATTTGGAGCACATGAGCTGCAACTTGGACAGCCGCCATCATGACTCAGATGCAACCATGAGGAGTTGCCAGTATGGACATGAGTATGGAAACTGAGGAATCTACAAAACTGGAAGCCATTACCAGGCTATGACTGATGAAGACAAAGATGACTTTATGTGTGCTGCAGTACAGGTACAGTGATTTCTAGTGTGTGCAGATCTATGAAACTGTTACAGTATAGTATATAGTATAGTATTTATTGCATTCAAGCAAATCCAATTACAGGCCAACACCACTGGACACAGAACAAGTCAAATATCTTCAACAAATACTCCAACAATGGAACAAGTCAACATAAAATATACATCAACCTAAAATATACATAACACTATACCATGTTTAATTGTAAATAAAATAAGTTAAAATTGTAATAAAAACACATTACATAATAAATTCATTCAACTTAGTAGCTTATATATCTCAAACCATAAAAGATCACAACATCCATCAACTATAATGAGGTATGTTTGTTACATGGCATACCAGTCAAGTTGGAGATTATATCTTACATGTTCAATACCAAATAAAACCAGTCAAGGTATAAGTATAAGTTACATGTAGTTATGAGTTAAAAAGTCCAAGAAACCCAATTAGTAGTTCAAACCCCATGTCTAAGTCACTAAATCATGACAACACACTTCTCACAGACAAATCACAAAATAAATTAAGGAAGCAATGACACATAACACAAGCAACTATCTTCATATTCTATGTACTGACTCTGAGGTAAGACTTCAATGGAGGCACTTTCCTCTTGACTACTACAATTACTTTGTCTTCATATACAAGGACTGTTCAAACAAGCAAGGTTCTGAATCACTGAAGACATTAAATAGGATACAAAGTGGACTCACTCTGGAAGGATTTCAGATAACTTCAGAAACTGTTTACTAGCACAGCAGTACCATTAGCAGAGTGATGATTTGGAAAGAAAATACCTGAAGTAATGTACTAATTTTCTGTTTCACATATGGTATTCATTTTAAGAAAATAAATGAATGTTCATGTAGGACCACCTCTATTAAACAGAACTATGTCCAACGCAAGAATATATTCTGCCCCTAATTTAAAATTGCTACCACTTTTTGTTGTGCCCATGGCCTACCTTGTGCTTTGACAAGAGAAGGTTGATTGTAGTTAGGTCATGGCCAATGTCTCCATTAGTCACAATCTGTTCCTTCTCCTTTATCCAGTTCTCCTCATCTGCCATATCCCAGTAGAACTGCCAAAGTTTGCGGCTTTCATCCAATCGAGCTCGGCGTTCCACTGCCAATTTCACCAACTCCGCATATGCATCCTACAGTAATAAAACACACTAAAATCAATTCTTAGTTACTAAACAAATAACTAATTTTAACATTTGTAATATCTATATCCCCACCATCCAGATGTAGCTTTTGTACAGACTGCAAGCGCAATACAGATTGCATTAATCACTATGCTATAATAAAATTACTGAAAATCTGCACAATTGGCCCTGAATTTCCAGGCATTACACTAAAACACTTATTTCAAATTCTGAAATTCAAAATCAAGCTCCATTTAATCAACATTACATAAAATTCTCCATCATTTACTAAACCCAAATGCCATTGTCATGTTAATGTAAGCCCCAGGGCAATAACATGAATCAAATTCACATCATCACATCTTATTTCACATTGCCTTCCATCTAGGCCTGGCCTCCCAAGCACTCTCTTTCATTCACATTTTCCAACCAACATTTTCTGCATATTTCCTCTCCCCCTGACTCATCTCGTCCTTCAGCTGACCATCCCATTAATATTAATGCAGAGCACAAATTACAAAGCTTATAAAAATGCATTTTTCTCCATCTTCCTGTTACTTCTGTCTCTTAGGTCAAAATAATCCTCTCAGCTCCAGTTCTCACATGCCCTTAATGCTCTTCCATTTAGGTGAAACATCAAATTTCAAATCCATACAAAACAAAAGGAAAACATGTATTTTACATTCTGAGACAGAAGACAAAAAAATGAGAGAATGGTAGTAAGCAACTAATGCATACCTCTGTTATACAGCAATAATAATAGACCACTCCTAGGGGATCACACACTTCCAGCTTAACCATTACACAAACCGGTAGGACAAACCTCCTTAACTGCAATAGTGTAGAAGCCGTTTGCCTTTTCCACCTCCAAGTGTCATTTATTTTTTGTTTGCTCATACACACATTTTTTAGAATTTATTTACATTATTCACAACATGATGTTCTAACCTCAAGCTGCTGTACACGTTCCACAATGATGGCAGGGTCACACGGCCGATATCCTTCTGTTGTTTCTTGGTCAAGGAAGCGTTGTGACTGTTGAACCACTGCCTTTACACGTTCTCCCAGCACATTGATATCAGCCTCCACCAAAGAATGTTTCTGCAGAAGATCTTCCACACCCATTAGGTGCTTGCCATAGTCATCCGACAATAAACGTAATTTCAGTTCCTCCATGGAATCTAGGATATACAGCATCTCCTGGAAGTTCTGCTGCAACTGGAGTGAGAGCTCCAACCTCATGCGTCTTGCGCGCAGAAGTTCCAACAGGTAGTTCCACAGACGCAGCACATTGTCCTTCCTGCGCATTAAAACTCCATGCAAGACAGTATAACGTAAAAGGTGAGTTCTCCCTATTCTTAATTAAACACTACACCAAGATGTACAGGGAGTGAAGTTACAGCTGCATGTATTCTTAACTTTAACAATAAAATGGAGGTAAGCGGTTACCTTAACACCCCACCCACATTACCCTTGGGGCAAAAGCTCTCCATACTTATTGGATATGAGGCTGGGTGGTCCTCAGAACCAGTCTGCATGCTATGCAGAGGATAAAAATCTCTTGCCTTTGCCAAGAATCTAACTTCATTTCCTTGGTCATCCACCATGTAGTCCAGTAAGTATAATGACTGAGCTACCCCTACACCCAATGTAAGCCGGTTCTCACATATAATTCAGATGATCTGGTAAAAACGTAAGTCTGCTATATCTACCTACAGTCTACAGCGTTTTCACTAATACACTTGCATAACAATATGAATCAGGTGCATCTAACAATAAACTTCACTGTTCATTTCACAGCATCATCAAATTCATGCAATCTCTTCCCTTCTGACTTCGTGAGTAAAACTTGCATGTATCTCTCTTCTTCCCCATGTTTACATGTTCATAAATTTAATTTCAATGAACATTTAAGTGTACCTGAGTTCACTACCATAAAATGGTGGCAAAGAGGCAGTCACGGTGTTATTACATAACCTCATACCTTACTTTCGACTAAACCTATCTCAAACCAGATGTCATCCAGAAACTGTACCTGGCATTAATTCGGTCAATATCATGGTAGTTCTCAGCCTCCAGTTCCTGGGAAACTGCAACAACAGCCTGGACACGCTCTTCATATGCAAAGATATCAGTCTCAATGGCCTCGTGCTTCTTTGCAGCTGCTTCCACAGCAGCAAGGTCAAATCCAAAGTTATCCTGAGAAACAAGACGCTGATTTTCACTTAGCCAAGTCTCACGCATGCTTGCCTTTCGGTTGAACCTAGCTGCCAGTTGCTCAAGTTTCTCCTGTCGTATCAGCTCCTCCCGCAGAGCAAGCTCCCTGAAGAATAATAGACAGACATCATAAGTCAAGACTACCCGTACAAAATATGAATTCAAATACAAACTCTCCATACTCCCATGCCCAACTTCCTGAACATCCTCTTAAAATAAAAGGAGTTCTACATTACAGTTTCTGAACAAAATCTTTAGCATTTTAACTATAATACTTCTGTGCCCTGGTAGGAATGGTACATGACCCAGAATATCCAGATGCATATACGGCATAAAATGTCATTTTCTAATTTTTTGGTACTCTACTAATTATTTTTAATACTTGAAAAACATTATGAACTAATCTAACAAATATCATTCTTTCCTCAGACAATGCAATTGGATTACAAAAAGCATCTTTTTATATCTGCAGCAAAGAAACATTATGACAGATACTTATGGTGTTGGGTTTCTGAAATAAATAAAACCTGATCACCAGTAATTCACATAAAACTTAAAAGACATGGCAAAGAAACAGAAACTTATATTCTGCTCCTTTTACAGTATATTTTTACCATAAACTAATATTCTAACAACTATACTTGTTAATATCTGCCAGGTCTGCAATAGTCACGACTTCACAAAGAACAGAATTATTTGAATAAAAGAAAATCACAAAAATACCACTAAATATTTATATTGAAATAACTGAAACTAAAGGTTCAACATAAACTGAACACCTGAATTCAAACCTTCATATAAAAAACACAAACGCCCATCCACGAACCCTAACCTCAACCAGTTCTACCGCATCCACACAATAACATCTGAAGATCCACTTTAATACAGTCTTCTCACTTCAACCTCAGTCTTTCCTGTAGTTGCTTTCCAACAGGCTTACACATAAAGATTCTGTATATCCCCACCCATCTTACTTACAATATAGCTCGTCAATGTACTTACACTGTCATCACTAGGACAGCTGTAGAATTTATATATTCCTTCATTATGAAATTTTCTCCAAGCCCCACTTATCTCCCTCATGCCAAAATTCTTTCCCAAACACTGTGTGTTCAGATTCTTCCTTCACATTGTGAGACCTCTTTAAAAGAGCACACAAAACAATATACAATTTGTAACTGACCACTTCTTCAGTTAGCAAACTTCTTCAGCTGCTTCGGTCATGGATCACTGAACAGTTTGAGGAGTGAGTGAATGATGAATTGGAAATGATGTGGATGGGGGCATTCCTGACCTACTTAAAATAATTATACCAGCACTTACTTGTAAGCACAAAGGGAACCCACAAAACAAACACTTTGTTCAGGATAACCAGTCTCAGGACTGACACTTGAACCTAGGAGCTATTCAATTATTCAGTATTGAGGAGGTGGGTTACCCCATGCACCGCGACCAGTTTGATCGATTGTGCATCCCCCTTTAAATTTCTACTGTCTCCATACCCTACCAGTACTGGTGCTTGCTATCGTTCCCTTCTGCCAGCGAGGTTTCGGCCTTCTACTGGCAGTGGTATCTATCCAATAGCTAGTCCCTTTCTGTCAGTGAGGTCGTCTCTCCTCTGGCAGTGGTACCTAAGCTCCCCTATCTACCGGAGGCATTGGAAACTACTTGGGCGGGAAATTGCCTAAATTTAGTTCAGAGGTCTCCTAGAGTCATGAGGTTCTTTTATGTGCCGTAAATCTACGACATGGGACCCACGGCTTAAAGTCCCTCCCAGAGGACTTGTTCGCTGAATTTTTCCGCCCTTACAAATTCCACGACCTCCACCGGGTTTGAACCTGCGTACCTTGAGTCATGAGGTACCTAGGAGCTATACTAAGATACAATAAAAAATCAATGACAAAAGTTAATCTTTTCAAGATAACAAATGAGGTATGTTTAAGTAAACCACATATGGTGGTAATAATATGAAGACAGCAGCTTGCCTTTCATGCTCTGCTTTTTCCAGCCGTTCCCAGGCCTTATTAATGTCAGAGATCATCTTGCCTTCCTTTGGAGTGTATGGCTTCTGATTGTTAGCTCTCATTCGAGACTGCAGTGTAAAAAGCAATACTTCCAGATTGCCCTTCTCAACAAACCTGGAAACAAACAACATCCACTATAAATCCACACTGGAGCTGCAATTACAAACACAATATTATAACTTCACATATTCTTTCGTTGCTGAACACAGCATCACCACTTACTTAGGAGGTTTTTCAACTGTGCGGTAGGTATTGAACTGTGTTAGTTGTGCCTGTACACCAACGAGGGAATTGGCGAAGTCTCGTTCACCAAGAGCGCTGATAGTAGCCTCAATCCACCGTAGAAGATCTGAAGTAAGACCCTCATATTCCTGCACCATACGATCATTCTCCATGGCAATTCCTACGACCTTGCCAATTCTCTTGCCTTGAACCGTCTCTTGCTTCATCTTACTGAAGTAATGGTAGTACGTCACAACATACGTAATGATTGACTTCTCATCAGGGTGCTCCACAAAGATGTCTGAGAACATGGTATGCACCAGTAATATTACTGACTAAACAAGAGAAACAATGCAGTTATTAAAAATTCCATCTTCTGTGATGTAACATGGTGTACTTCACCAAAACTCAGTGTGTGTCACCTCCATCTTCTGAGTTGAAGGACAAGCCAATCAACAAACCAGCATGAACCAGGCAGCAAGCAGAGCTCTGTCTGCCTCCTGCTTCATGCTGGTTTGCTGTTTGGGTTACTCTTCAACCATGAAGATGAGGTCATACATAGCTCAGAAATAGTGATTGACTTTCAACAGGCTACAAATTGTGTTATATGCCAGAAGACAGAACTCCTCATAAACACTGTCGTGAGAACCTCAAATCCTACATAAAGCAATTATTGATTAAACAAGAAACAAGATATAGAAAACTTCTGAAGGCTATAAATATTGGAGCTACACAATCTATACTACAGATGAAAGCCAAGCAGACGTTTTTTTGCAATAAAATTTTGCCAATTTCCAAAATAATTTCTTCATAAAGAGAAAATCATGACTTTGATCATACATCCTGCAACTAACTGCCTGACTGACTACATGGAGTTGAGCCCTTCTTGAGAAGCTGCCAATTGTGCAGCTACTCAAGAACTTCCCAGAATTTTATGGAATATAAAGGTTCATTACCGTGTTCACAAGAGCCTTCCACTGGTCCCCATCCTGAGCCAGAGCACTCCAATCCATACCATCCCATCCTATCTCTCTTAAGATTCATATAAATATTGTCCACCCACCTACGTCATGGTCTTCCAGTGGTCTCTTTCCTTCTGACTTTCCTACCAATGTCCTACATACATTCCTCTTCTTCCAATTCCTGCTACATGCCCTGCCCATCCCCTCTTCCTTCACTCGATCATTCTAATTATACTTGGAGAAGAGTACAAGTTACAAAACTCCTCATTATTATGCAGTTTTCTCCAACCTATTGTCACTTCATGTCTCTTTGGTCCAAATATTCTCAACACCCTCAGTCTATGTTCCTCCCTTAATGTCAGAGACCAAGCTTTACACCCATACAGAACCACAAGCAAAATTATAGTTCTGTACATTCTAATTTTTATGTTTTAAGACAGCAGATGAGAAGACAACAAGATTCTGGACTGAATGGTGGTAAGCATTCAATTCCCTCTTAATTTTGTCATGAATCAAATTTTTATCTGTTACTGTCATTCCAAAATATTTTAACTGAGCCATATCTTCAAAGAATCCATTAGCTATATCATGATACTGGCCTGGGTGCAAGGGCCTAGAAGGCCAACCCCTTATACATTCATGATACTGGCCTGCATTCTTGTGATAAGACAGCAACATATACTTAGATTTCTCTGCATTTGCTTCCAGACCAACATCCTTACTAGTGTCAATTATAGTTTCAGCGTTTTTTTTTTTTGGTACCTGTGTTATCTCCCAACAAATTTACATCCCCAGGACAGACCAGCAGCTGATGTGTCCCATTTAATTTCAGTGCACTTGGTCTTCCTGGATCTTCCTAATGACATATTCTACAGCAAAGTTTGAAAAGCAATGGTGATAAAGCATCTCCTTGTTTCAGACCATTTTAGATAGTAAATTTATCACACAAATGTTTACGTATACAGACATTACTACAGGTTTCATTTAAACACATTTTAATGGTCCTAACTAGTTTCATGGGTACCCCAAACTGTATGAGAATACTGCACAGTACTTCCTTCCTGACTGAATCATAAGATTTCTTGAAGTCTATGAACAGCAGATGTACCGTCTCACTGTACTACCATTTTTTCTCAAATATCTGATGAATGCAAAATATGTGATCAGTACTTGATATTTTACATTGATATCCACATTTATGACCCCCAGGAATTTCAGCTACACATGTAGTTAGCCTTCAGAGAAGGATATTGGGTAACATTTTTTATGAAGATGATATACAGTGATATCCCATGATAATTACTACAGCCCATTTTATCGTCCTCCTTGAAAATAGGTATAGTAAAAGACTCCTTCCAATGATTAGGCAATTCTTCCTTATTCCAAATAGAATCAACGACTTTATGGACCTCAGACACTGATGTTTCACCTCCTGCTTGAATCACTGCTGCTAGAATTTGATCACTACCTGGTGATTTATAATTTTTCAACTTTGCAATAGCAATTTCAACATCAAAGGGACTAGGATCAGGTACTAACAGCTCAGTTGTTTGTAATTCTATCTGCCAAACATCACTGACCTATGTATATTCAATAACTGAGAGATTAGTTCTTCCACCTATTCAAAGTGTTCTGGGAATCTACAAGCAGATCACCATTCTCATCCTTCACTAAGTTACTTCTAGGGCCGCGCCATAGCTCAAGCAGTTAGTCGCTGGCTTCCCATCGCGGCCGCCCGGGTCTGGTCAAGTGGGATTTGTGGTGGACAAAGTGGCGCAGTGGTAAGTTTTCTCTGAGTACTTCGGTTTCCCCAGCCAATCTTCATTCCACCAATTGCTCCACAGTCACCCTCACCTATCATCTGGGGCTGGTACAATAGGCCAGAAGTGGCCGCAGTACAAGGGACTTAGTCCCACCCCACTAGCAACAAAAAAAGTTACTTCCACATTGGTAACCCTTCTTAAATTAATTCATTCCTATTTACAGGTCTCTAGTTCTTGTTCTTACTGTTTGTTGGAAGTTCATTAATTTTGTCTTTCAGATATTCCTTCTTTTTATTCCTGAAATACCTGCTGGCTTCAAGTCTTATATTGTTCAAGTTATCCCCATTTATTTCGCTTTGGTCCTGTAAGCATTGCAATCTGACGTGTTTCCTTTCTTCTAATAGTTATTAACATCCTTCACCATCCCATGACTTATGCTTCTTCGATTCATAATAACCCAGATTCCCTTTGGCTGAAATTTTGATATTCTAACACCTCTCCCAAACTCCAGTAATATCCATATCACTGTCAAAGTTATAACCTACAACACATAAAAAAAATTATTAAACAGTTTGCAACATATTGTTAACATTCAATGTTAACCCAAATTCAGCTCTTTTTCTGTTTAATTTAAAAGTTAACCCTTTATTGAGTTTTAAAAGATGGCTAAAAGCTAAGGTGGGAATAAAGAAAACTTGATATCTCATACATTATAACATTTCAAGTCATGAATTCGTGATCCAAGATTTTAGGTGTGAGAACAAGTTTCACTCCATGCAACAATACTGTAACTGAATGGGGGCTCTGATGGAAATGGTGGGCTTACAGCTAATTCAGGTATTTCTAAATGCTAAAATAAATGGGGGGGGGGACATCTCAGAAATACTTTTATACTTTGGCATCATCTTGCATGTTGAAACCGGCTTTCTTCACTGAAAAACACAACTTATTCTGCAGCAAACCGATATCTTGAATACAGTCCTAACTATGGCTAGATTATTTTCTCTTCAAGATTAATGTCAAATAATAATTCATTGTATCTATTAATATTTGTATGAATATTCTGCTATATTATGCTATGAATATGAATAACTGGTACTGTTCCCAAGATTATGTGAATACAAGATTTTTACATAAATGTTATGCTAAAAGGCAAAACTTAAATAAAAATCATCTGGGCCTTGAATAGTGGCTTTACATAGGTAGTTCCGAGTAATTCGCTTAGTGGGGGGTGGAGTCCAACTGGGTCCACTGGGCACGGCAGCCACTGATTGGTCTATTGTAGCCTGCCCCGGGTGATTATGATGATGGAGAATTTGGTGGAATGAAGATTGGCAGGGAAAACCTAAGTACTCGAAGAAAACCCGCCCCAGCGCCACTTTGTCCACCACAAATCCCACTTCACCAGACCCGGGATCGAACCCGGGCTGCCATGGTAGGAAGCCAGCGACTAACTGCTTGAGCTATGGCGCGGCCTTAGTTCCGAGTAACAGCACACAATATTATAACTGGAATCAAACATATTACTGAAATTTCAATTATAGATAAAAATTAAACTAAAGTACAGTCTGACAAATCAATTACATATGTCTGTGATTACATTTTGACTCCTAAATAGCTCTAAACATAAGATATGCAAATGAGCCTCTACCTTCTGCATCAAGCAGCTTTGTAAGTCCAAGCTTCTCCTCAGCAACATTAAAAGCATTGTTCAAATTGTGCAAAGCATTTGACTTGGACAATTTCTCAAACTGTATGAGGTCAGGGCGGTGTTTGTGGATAATGGCATTGAAGGCCAAGCCATCGCGCCATGATGTGGTGAAGTTGCGCACATTCACATTATGGTAGCCAGCAGTCTTCATCTGACACCACAGCAACAGTGCATCCTTGGCAGACTTAGTTTCCTGGTTGTCTGTTTCTTCGATTGTAATATCTTGGATCTGCAGCATAAGTTACTGAATTATCTTTATGAATAAAGGTGTGTAACTCATTAATAATGACATTATTAGAGCCCATTTTTTCTCATTTTATAGGGAAAGATAAGCTTACTGCACAATCAGGAATATATACCTGCCCACCTGTACTCCTAGTAACTTCTAAACCCTTCGATTTTCAAAAACTTGGCATGTGCATTGTGCCACTCAAGGACACTCCATTTGTCATACATAATACCTTCAAGGCAGCTGTAATTCTCAAGGGAGGGGCAGTTCTCTCTGTGTGCATCTCTTTAAATTTCAAAATTAATCCATATAAGTTCAGTAACTCAACTGGAAGGTGTGCATTCAAAGTGCATGCATGAACATGCTCACACAAGGTGTGATCAAACACTTCCAGCCCGTCCTCAAGGTGACATTACTGTAATAAGGCCAAAAAAAAAAAAAACCACCACTCCTCCACTAGCTAATGGTAAAATTCAATCTGGTATATCACTTACCATCCATTTTCAAATGTAAAATGTGCCATCCACAAACAACAACAGACAATTTTTTGTTTTCTTTCTTAAAAGTATGTCATACACCTTTCACACATTCCATTTACAATCAGGAAAGTTTCTTCTGAGTAAAGACCACAGCCCTCTTCACTTTACTACATTTTACTAAATTAGGAGGAGCAAATGATTAAATAACAGTGGGTATGCACCAAATTCAGTGTCAAACAAGGCAAAATGTGCTATGGTAATCCACAACTTTTTAGAACTAGTTTCTGAATAGGAAACAACGTGCAGACCTAAACATTTACATACTTGTAGAACTCAGTCCAGCATATTATTACGCATACATGTTCCCTTGCAAATGAAACCGTCAAGTCCGAGAAACAAATTTGCAATGAGCACACTACATCAACTATCCTACCACAGGATTGTAGGTGTTAGGTCTCTTAGGATCTTTGAATTCCTAGAAAATAACAGCTGTTAATTTTCGGTTCACTGTGGATCCATATTAAGAACGGTAATAAAACAATTCATCAAACAATTTGACAGTATTTCTTACATTCTATTTAAGATATTACACCTACCTGGAACCTAAGGATGATTGTCCAGATAAGTCCCAAGCTCAGACGTGGATTGCCATCCACAATGTCATGTGAGCCCATGTTCTCCAGGTGAACCCTCTGTTCCCGCAGGAACTGTAAGGCTTTGTCTACATTCTCAAGGCAGTGAATTCGCATCTTACCTTTTGTAGGGCGAGGCTGCAAAAGAAAATAAACATAATCACATAAACACAGTTAAACAACATATGTACACCAAATCATAGACAATCGCTCATACCAGAGTTGCAAAATATTTTGCATTGTTTAAATCATACTGGTATATTATACTATAATTACTATAATTGTGATGAATATTTAAAACTAACAGTGTGTGTCAGATATTTTCATAATAATGACCAGTAAATCTCCTCAATACACTCAATTCATGAGAAGAATATCTAAAGGTTTCTTCCATGCATAATACAGACTGTGTTGAAACACAGCAAACAATGAAACCATTTTGGGCACGCAGTCACACATGGCCCATAAGAAATAATGACCCGAGGGACTCTGCAGTGGTACAGAATCGAAACACAGTAATGCCAATGAAAGTGTTAACCAAATATTTTTCTCATATTACAACACCAATAATAAATGTGAGAATTCTTGCCAGACAAATCTCACCAATATTAACTTCCCTTTGCTCAAACAATTTCTGCAACTAGCAGTGCAGGCTGAATTTGAAAGCAGTGCAAAACACACCTAATATTATGCCATTATCATGGAACCTAACAATTACAACAGAAAAGTTTAAATGTACTCGAATTCTCCATCTGAACTAACTAGATTCTATGAGAAGCAAGCAGTCCAGTTCCTCACAGTAGTCCAGGGGGATCTTCAGGATACCCACACACCTAGTCAGAAGTGTGCTATCAGGAATTCACCCTAATACAATGCAAGTGCTAATCACAAGGCCATATATCACAACACACTACATTCAAGTGAATACAATAAAAACATATTAGGTAATGATGAAAATTTAATCATCTAGAGCATGGGTTCCCCACTATTCTGCAACACTTACTCTGTGGACTTTCTTTGGAAGATCACATGACTATTGGGAAAACTATTTTAAGAATTTTGAATGGAATAAGAGCGAAACACAGCTAACACTTAATAGCGCCATAACTTTTAAAACTGAAATAATATAAAGATCTTACCATGCAAATCACATGTTTATTTGTGCATAGAGGAAATTCACTTTTTAAGATGGAGGCTGACCACAAGTTTGAGAGCCTCTGATCTAGTGGAAAGTTACTGTCAACCAACCAGATTCAGGGCAAATTCTTTGCTTTGGATCTATGACCTTTATTGGCCCACACAAGGTTCAAGACCAACTCCATGGGGCTAGTAAAGGTAAAATGTAAAGCTATCCTTGTAACAGGCTGTGGAGACCTATAGGGTTGTGAGATACTGTGGCTGGGGAAGGCCCCTGGTGAAAGTCACTTTGATGATCAAGAAATTCCTTGCCTTTTATTGAACCCAAAGATTCATTTCTGCTGTAACAGTTCACCACTGAACCCTACACTGAGCCTGTGGTATCCAGTTTACACATTCACACCCCTTTCTGTTAAAACACATTTTAACATTACCATCCCATCTTAGATCACATAAGTGGTTTCTACCTTTCAGGCTTCTGGACAAAAATTCTGTGAGCATTTCTAATATCCCTCATAAATGCTATATCCTGCCCATTTAACTCTCCTTCCCGGCTTCTAGTCTAAGTTAACCAGCACATTCCCTATTTTAATAAACAATTTCTCTCACTTAATTGGGAGTTGCAAAATCCATCTCATATGTGCCTCCTGTTCTTAAGTACATTTCACACTGCTAAGCAGGCAAAAGGAAGCAGAATAAAAATGCCTAATGGTGACCAGAGGTGGGTATGGTTTAGCCTGTCATATCACAAATTAAAAAAAAAAACAAATGTGTAAAGGGGAGAAAACAGATTAAAATTGTTGGAAGTCTATAATCCCCAATAAAATACTTATATGAAGCATAAAGAGACTAGCAGATTGAAGGAGAATTCTTTGAGCCTTGCCTGAAGACATTACAGCAACAGATGCAACTCACTAGTAACTTTGTGGTCATTAGAGCATCAAAATAAAAATGGTAACAGTAATGACAGCACAAACTGGTGCCAGATACATCAAAATAAGAGTCACACACAACTACAACTACAACAGCTGTGAACACAGGAAATGTATTTCTTCATACATACAAATTTCACCACTTACCAATCTCTCTCCTGACAGGACTTCTAATAGCTTAAGCAGCATTTTACCATCTCGTAGATCAACATAGAGATCACTGATTCGACACGATACACGTACAAGATGAGAATTTACCCATTTTTGGAACGTCTTCTTTTGTACACTTTCTCGTTCGTCTGTAACAGAAAACGAAAATGGATGAATCCAGGTTTCTGAGATTTAAGTGAACGTAACATCAACTACTTCATGGCTTACTTAACATGACCACATACCTCTCACCAGAATATTTTCTTAAACCTGCCACAATTCAATACTTTCTGCATTCTTTTTATGAAATTTTGCTTTACTCAGAGGTATTTACTTTCCCCTTTGTATAGCACATGACCAGACCTTCCTCAAATTTCAGCACTTTCCACATTTCTGCGTAAAAATTCCCACAAATCATTTGCCCATGGCATTCATATGCCAGAAGACTCAAACAATAAATGTGAATATAATAAAATTTTCCACACAAAAAGAGATAATCAATCAAAGAATTCTTCCAGGAGGACCTCAAAAGTCTGGTTTCTTGTGCAGTTTATAAATCAGGAAAGCCTCACACTGACTATATCCAATTCTAAATAACACGCGGGTAAAGGATTAAAATAATTACACCCACTTTGGGCTTTAGAGCAGAGATTCCTCACTGCACATCTTCCTCTATTCCCTGTCATTCACTTCTTCCATGTTTGCCTATGGCCCCTAAGGGATTCCTGAATTAAAATCCAGCATGCAATTCTCATCTGTCCACACATGCTACATGTCATGCAACAGGTCACTACCTCAAAATTTGTATCCATTGTTTAAAATTATGTTATTCAAGTGTAATAAAGCCTTTGTAGGTTATACCAAGTGGAAATGGTAAATACAAGTCCCATGTTGCATTAGTCAGCTACACTTTAGAAATACTGCAATTTTATACTAGTCTTTGCAGGCTATACAACTGTCACAGTTGAATAAAATTCTCACAGTTCAGAAAGTCCTGCCTGTCAAATGCTTCATTTTATTAAAATATTTGGGCTATAATTGAATAACTCAATAAAGTTTCTTAATTTCGGAGACCTTTGCTTCTGAAAGTCTGGAATTCTCCTTTCTTCTCCTTCAGTTATGAAATGTACAGATAAATAAAATTCCTCCATTTAAGAAGCTTCTTCTGCTTGTGAAACACAGAAATCTTATGTAATCATGGAAAGGCTTATAACCCAAGACTTTACTGTATTGTGCCAAACTATGAAGCCTTGCATGACCAAGCACTAATGCTCTAAATCTGTATTTGGGAGGTGTTCCATTCAAGTCTTAGCCAGGATACCAGCTATCCTGTATGAGGACTTCCATGGTTTTCCTGAGTTCCTCCAGGAAAATGACAGGATAGTACCTCAGTTAGGTCATGATCGCTTCCTTTTTCTTTTGTTATAACATTAGCAGCAGCTAGTCTCTGGGCGCCATAAGGTATGACAACTGATCACCGATGAGCTGGAAGAAGTATACCAACCTGCTCAGTCTTCCCACACCTTTCCAATTCATCATTCACTAATCATCGTACCCTTCTATGCTATGCAGTCTACATACTGACATCATCATAAAATAAACCACTAAAAAAAAGTCCTGGTGCCTTTAGCTTCATACCCAAAGTGAGGAAGATGAGTAGAAACACTATTTGAAAATCAAGTTCCAATCCCTAGAAAAGTCCTTTCAGTGAAAGGAAAGGCCTCATCTATTCATAGCATATAATTGCCGTCGGTCTCTTTCTTTACATAAAGGCCACCAGCCTCTTTTGTGTACCGTGAGCAAATATTTGCTTCATCAACTCTAAACATTCTCAGAGAAGGAAATTAATATTCATAACATGAATGACCAGCAAACTGCCAACAGTTAAGTCATATTAACTACAATAAAGGAGCATCAATATGGCAAATGAACTTTGTAATGTGTGAAAAAGGAAAATAACGACATATTAATTTCTCTAACACAGAAACATAACTATTTGAATGAAGAATTAGAAAGGTTACAATGAACAATTAGTATGAATCTGCAACAGTAGATAAAAATCTAATTTATTTTGTTTAATTGATAGAATCTGATAAACATTTTATGCTACATTCATATCCCATGAGGTAGATTGTTTTATAATAAAATGCTTTCTGTATATACTATCTCATGTGAAAACACAGCACACCTTGATGAATATGCAAAACAAAATTAACAATCTAAAATGCTTTTGACTTTAACCAGAGCATAAAAAAGGTAAAGTTATCCCTGTGCTTAACAAATTAAGCACTACGCCATGAAGAAGTGTAGGGGAGTGGATGTGTAGATCCATGTATCTGGGGCATATGTATTCGGAAAGTTAACACATTTCATCACACACACTCTAAAAGCTTACTTGAATCACGGCAATGTAAAGTAAAACATGCATAACTTTAATCTTATACATTTACCATATATATTTCCTCTCATTTTCATCATATCAAGTAGTACCAAATTATATGTATAAAATATGAGAAAACACTTCACACCTGCGTTTGTAATCAACAAGAAGCTACTTCTTTCACATAGAAGTCAAAGGTTTTATGTAAACGAATAGGCACTAGAATGATGTAGCTTCTTCATTTCCCAGAGAATCTGCAAATGGCCTCCTCCTTTTTTTTATGAATTTGTAAACCTGACAATGTTTAATTTCAGTTACCACAATACCTCAGCAAACTGAGTAATATTTCACATGACTGTTAACATAATGGACAGCACACAAATTATTACTTCACACATCATTTAAAGTTCACACCGCCATCTGGGCCAGCAATTCGGTGCCATCTCAAACCACACAGGGCTAACATCATCTCACACGAAGCCAACCTGAACATGCAACTGGCTCACCTCGGAAGTACTTCCAGGAATAATAATTATTCCCTTACACAGATCCACAGAAGTTCTGGCCCAGGGAAGGCCAAGGGAGATAGATAAAAACATATCAGCACAGTATTTCTCCCGTATGTGCAGAACCTACCCAAACATATCTACAACGTACTTGCACAGTACAACACAGGAAACATACATCTACTAACACTTGAGACACACAGCATTCTCAGGGGGGTCAAGGACAGCCCGGGATTAAAAGCTCCAGCAGTGTGTAAGATCATGTGTAAATGCAGGGCCATCTATATTGGCAAGATGAGTTGCATGATTAGAGAACGGAAGGAGAAGCGTCAGGTGCATCAGACAGACCTCGAGCTCCACCATCTATGGCAGGGCATTCAAACAAGCAAAACACTGGATACTTTGAGGACACAATGGTATTAAGCAATCTGCTCTACTACACCAGCAGAATTAACCAGGAAACAATGGAAGACAAGAGGTGGCTGTCAGTTAAGCACTGCCTTGAAGAAATCATCCACAGAGTAGAGCAGAGAAGAGGATGCCATAAAGATACTCTTCCCTCTAACCCTGTGCCAGATTGACGAATCGCTATTACTACTCTGTATCAGGGATCACCTTTGCCCAAGGACAAACCCCATCCTACCCACCACCTGTGTCTAAGGCCATTCTCCTTTCTACAACATACCACCCTTCTTCATGCTTCCCCCTTTCCATCAGCCCCACTGCAACCTAATTGCAACACATAGCAATGTCCCCACTGCCCACAGCATAGAAGATAATCAATGTCATAAGCACCTGGCTGGGTGACCACTCTGGAACATCAAATGCCACTGGTTTCTTGGTGCACCCTGTCGCCTGTTGCACAATTTTCTCCACTGGCTCAGACAACAACCCCCCCCCCCTCATGTTTTTTTTTTGTGGAGGGGGGGAAAAAAACCTCTGTACATGGAAATACCTCCAT